ACTGAGGTCCTATTTTGTGCAAGATTGTACAGAGTGTTAAGCAAGAGCACAGCGTCCACTGTGGCAGCAAGTGGCGGGGCTCAAATACACTTCTGATCCCAGTGCCTTACACACTTGTCCTCAGTATAAAGGCAAAAAAAAAAAAGTAAAATAATACTCTGTAAACTCAAAGCATTGTTGGAAAAAATTAATGAAGACCTAAATACCTGGACAGACAAACCACACATAATCCTGTGCCAGAAGACAATACTCTTGGAATGGCAGTGCTCCCCAGAGTGATCCGTGCATTCAACCTGGTCTCGTTCACAATCCCAGCGGTCTCCTCTGCAGAAACTGACTAGCTGCTGCTACAAATCATATGGGAATTCAAGGGTCTCCGTAACCAAAGTGATCTTGAAAAAGTAGAACAACTTGAGAGCACTTGTAATTCTCAATTTGAAAACTTACACCTGTATCTCCAGGTGAGGAGATTACAGGCCATTTTTAACTTATTTACTGTGTTTATCCTCATTTTCTAAATTCTGTACAATGAATATAACTGTTACAATAAGAAAAATAAAAAGTAATGTATCTTTGAAAACATGCACACTGATTCATTCATTGGGAAAAAAATTAACTATAAAGAGGTAAACAAATATCTAGTGAAAAAGGACTACTTAAAACAAGAGTGCATTTACATTTTTCATTAATTGAAAACTGGAAAGCACAAACACATCAAGTTTCTAGGTAGCCTGGTGCAACATAATAATAGTTACTTTCAAAAATTCTAATTGAACAATGAAAACCCAAGAAAGGGAAAATCGTGATTGACAGCCAACTTCAAACATATGGAGAGCAAAGGCCTAGAAATCCCAGTCCCTGTAGCTCTGCTACTAACTCATTAGGAGAGGAAATTCCTCACTAAGGGGACAATGGGATTCCGTGCATAAGACAGGATACACAGTACAAACTGCACTAGATAGAGGTGTGATTTTCTTAGAAGAATTCTAAAGGTAGAACATTGCAGAAAAACTATAAAAACACTGAAAGACAGTTTAAAACACACACCCATATATATTATATAGAAATGTATGAAGTCTGCTCCCATGTTGCATAGAAATACAAAGTTACATTTGTTCATTTATGGACACTGATTACTTTATTCCAGGTATAATATTTCAACTAAAACAAATAATCAATAATACACCCCTCTTCTTAAATTTAGTTAACAAGTTAGTCTTCTATGTAACCATAATTTGTTGAAGATAGATCTATAATTATTGAAAAATATCTTTGTATGGTTTCTCAAACTCTTCTCAAAATTCCAAGCTTAATTTTAAAATAGATCTAAGAAGTATTTTTCTATTATCTTTTCACTCTTGAAATGGACAACACAGTCTGTTGTCAAAATTCTGTCATTACAATGATTCACGAGCACCGTATCCTAACAATACTGCTGGACAGCAAGGCACTATCCAGACACTGTGACCAAACAAGTGAAACACAAGGAAGACAATGACCCTATTCTGGAGGGCTTATTATCTATGTCAACACTAGGGTTTTTATTTGATTGGTTAGCAAAATAAAATCAATCAAGTACTTTTTTTTTGAGCATTCTGTAAGTCATGACTCTGTTTTTAGTGTCATGAAGAGGAAAGAATTAAGCATGACTTGATTAGGTCAATTAGCAACAGCCATCACTGCAGAGTGTGTAATAAAAAGTTAACTGATAGCAATGCTTTTGCCTACATGAGACCTAAAATAAACCTACACTGTGCTCTGCAAGGAAAATGAGAAGATGAGGTCCCCAATGAGAAAAAAACTAACAAGAAATCAAAGAAGGAAAGACTTTAATTAACGGTGCCAGGAAGGAGTAGAGTATGGTGGTGAAGAGCACAGATGCTGGGGACAAACAAGAGGGTCTGAAATACCACAGCACCACTGGGTAGCTGTGAAACTGATATTCAGGGAAATTTTCTGCATCTCATTCTCCTCATCCATAGACTCGGGACAACAACAGCACCCATCCTTAGAATTGTCCTAAGAATTAAGTTATTTTATATATAAAAGTTTAAATAAAATACCTCATATCTTAAATATGACCCCAAAAGCACAAGGAACAAAGAAAACAGTGATAAACAGGAGTTCATCAAAATTTAAAACTTTACTGCAAAGGACACCATCCAGAAAGTGAAAAAAAAAAACACACAGGAGAAAATTTTTTCAAATTATTTATCTGATAAGGAATTTGTATTTTCAAGATGAAAAAAGCTCCAACAAATCAACAATAAAAAGGCAACTCAATTAAAAAATGAATAAAGGATCTGAAAAGATATTTTTAAAGGAAACTGTAAAAATGGCCAATAAGCACAATGAAAAGATTCAATATCATTAGCTGTAAAGGAAACCAAGTCAAATCCACTAGGAGAACCTGCTTCACACTCACTACAATAGGTTATAATCAAGAAAAGAGTAACAAGCACTAATGAGGACACAGAGGAAGCAGAGTTCACAGCAGTTGCTGGTGAGGATGTAACATAGTGTGGCCACTTGGAAAACAGCCTGGCAGGTACTCAGAGAGTTGGAAATTTGGTTTCTGAATTACCCACCAATTCTGCTTCCTGGGCACACACGTAAGAGAACTGAAAATAAATGTCCACATAAAAACTCCTACAGGCATGATATGGCACTATTATTCATCACAGCCAAAAAGCAGAAACAACCCAAATGTCTATCACGTGATGAATGGGTAAACAGAGGGACCCAGCCATACAGTGGAATAGTATTCAGCAATAGCAAAACGAGGAGTACTGAGACAGGACAAAACGTGGACAAACTTGGACAAACATTGAAAACGTTACTCAGTGTGAAAGAATTCAGTCACAAAAGACGGTTCCATTTACATGAAGTGACTCGCTTTACGTGAAATCTCCAGCACAGGCAACTCCACAGAGAGAGAAGAGTGGCTGCCTGGGGTTGGGGGAGGATGGGGAAGA